TTATTAATTATAGTTTGTATTATTAATTATATTATTAGAAAATTTCTAATTACTATTCCGTATTTTTTCTGTACTTACTTCATACTTCTATATTTGTCCATAATATTTCATAGTTATCAGATTGATTGCATTCGTTTTCCATTTTTCTGTAAATCTAATGTATCACGTTTCATTTAGTAATAAACATCACAATCTACCTTTGCAACATTTTCTGTCTTATACTTCTTACTTATCATTACCCTTGTTTAAGATTGTATTAAACACGTATGTAGCCTATATTATAATTTCAATTACATAATCCGATGGTTAATACGAACAAAAATAAGTAAGGAAAACAATCATCGGAAGGTAATACATAGGTATGTAAATGGATTTTATGAGATTGGATAGGTATCATCAATATAAATTTTTCAATAACAAATGTTAATGCATGACAATGAATGTCTTAACACAGAAATTTCTTGCCATTTAACTACAGTTTCAAATAAAATTCTTTTCCGTCGTTTTAAAGTCGTTTTGTAACGAAACTTTTTGATTGATAATTGGTAATTGATTTTGGTATGGTCTGTGAATTTTTGCATAAAATATATATGCTATATATTGTCTTAATATTACATATATGTTTTTCGACTTCCAGTTATTCCCGACAAAATCTGCTCTCAGGAAATGTGAAGACAATGACCGATTCTCCAATGGCTGTAGCAAATTCAACGTGTTCCGCAAACACAACTAATACAAGTGGAATCAGTGTCAACAGTTCACTAATGTATGCAATACAAAATTAATTAACCTTCTAACCGTGTTCGGGTCTTTTTGGACCTGAGTTTTTTAAGAAGTTTTCGTAGAAACGATAATATTGTCAACAAAAATATCAATTTTGCGGTATATTATATTAAATCCTCTAAACACGATTAGAAGATTAAATTGATAATTGAAGCATTCTTTATGTAACACCTTTTATTTGTGTTTTGATTTTAGAAAAGAGCGGAATCGAGAGCAAGGATCTGATAATTTATCTCTACCATTAACTGGTGCAGAGACGCAATATTCATTGAACCTACAATTACCGTCAAATTTACAACAACAGGACAGAGAAAACACTACTATCCGTAGTAATATCATAACAAATGAAATGTCTCAACAAGTTGACAATCTTTGGGAGGAAGCTCATAGTTCTTTCCGATTACCGTCTGCAACGAACGATGATAATCTTTTTAATAACTTAAGGTTTGAATCTTCTTCGAAATTTATCAAATATGGTTGTCATATAGTCTTCATATTAACTTTTTATATAAATTTGTTTTTTATTTTACAATGAACAGCTCAGAGTTGAAAGAGGCAATCAGTTCGCTCATCGCAGTAAATAAGAGGCGACCCGATTATTTAATAATTATTTTAAGAGAGATTAAAGCTATTAGCGAGGACCACCGATTGCGATCTCATTTGTTAAGATCATTACGCGCTTTGCAAGACAAGCAAACATTAAATAATCCATTGGTTAGTACATAATTTGCAGATGTATAATATGTATCACTTCGCATATTGAATTTTGTAGCTATCAATTAACATTCTTTGCAGAATGAAGCACCTGACTTAACTCCGAGCGAAAGTTACCAATCTAGCGACGAAGATTCGGATGCAGATTTTGCTTTGGAAAATGCATCTATGATCGATCATTCGGCTATGCTCAAAATGGTTGTGATGTCTCAGATGTCTCATGTAGATACTGCCTCATCTCCAGTTTCGTCTCAAATACCGTTAATAGAACATTTGGAAATAACGGTAAATAATAATATCAAAGAGATACGGAGTACATTACAATACGCGAGAAATTATTTACCTAAATTATAATTTCTAATATTTTTAGGGAACATCTCCAGTTGAATGTGCGAGTGCGGTCCCTTCTATTTCTAAACCCGGTTATAACGAAGACTTAGCGGAAGCCGATCAATCAAGACCTGAATCTTCAGGAAATCAAAAAGTATATCCTCTTTTTTTCACTTAAATTTCTCCTCTAAATGAGTAACACACAGATCGATATTAAATATATTGTATATTGTTCCAGCTTCCTATTAGCGATATAGATAACGAGGAAGGACAAGAAGAAGCAGCATCTTATCCGATTACTGCTGAGGCGGTTACTCCTGACCTCGAAAGTCTAGCTGCTAAGACTGAAGATGAAAGAGCAGAAGATACTATTGACAATTTTTTTAGATTGCATTAAAAGATTTGTTATTAGATTGCTTTCGTTAATCACGATGTGATAAAATGCTATTTACACCTATTTTAAATGTAAAAGGAAAGTAGAGATGTACCGTAATCTTTGATAAGATATTAATTTACTATTGCTTCCGTTTACAAAGATATCAATTAATAAATAAATAAAGTCTGATATATAAATAGTAAAAGCTGTTAAAAACTAAAAATTCTTAGGCCGAATTCCACAACTCACGGTTACTCTTGATCGAGGTTTAACTTATTCATTGTCCCTTTCCAATTCTAGTATTGGAAAGAGATGAGAAACATGTTAAATCTCGGTTAAGAATTAACCGTGAGTTGTGGAACTGGGCCTTACTAATATCTGCCTATAGATCAAAAGAGTACACAAGATAGACATAATAAAAATAAGTTTATATTATACAAATATATATTACATCAATATATATAAATAATATAGAAGATACACGTACAATCTTCAAAAAATATGAAATTGATTGATTGGATACAAATAATGTAAAAATTAGCACTTGAATGAAAGCTTATAAGCTTTAGAGTTATTCATTCCCTAAGCATTATGTAAAAACGTATTTTTTCTCTAAAATATAAAATGGTTTGTGCGTTTCATTTGTGATGGAATTTAATGAAACTATATTAATGGCATGAATGACTGAATGACTTATATTCCGAATTCGATATTAAATAGACTCGTATTCTGACTCATATTGGACTAAACAGACTCTGAAATTGGAATTAAACAAGTTCTGTATTATTGTGAATTCAAAATTGAACAAACTCCGTATTTTAAATAAAAAAGGACTGTTTTGAACTTAATGGGATAAACAGATTCCCTAGGTTTTGTATTTATTGAACTAAATAGAATCCATCAAATCTAAACTAGATTTAGCTGAGAACTAGATACGCCTAAAGTGGAATACGAGAGAAGCCTGTTTTTTCCCAATTTCAAAATATGGAACTTGTCTATACTTATCCCTATAATTCTCTTAAATATAGCTACGTCCATAAGTCTCTAAAATGGAATTTTATAATTTTTTTTTTAATTTTAAAATACACAAATAGATTTTAAGATTAAAAACACTAAATAATTTAAATTTATATACAATATTCCGCTATATTCAAGATATGGCATATGAATAATATTGTAATAATTTCTCATAATTTAGATATTTATCATTAAATTGGATGCTTTCGGAATTATATTATTTTATCATTCTCTTATCAGTATTTATTGTATAGGGTAATTCCGGTATATACGCCGCATCTATCAAAAACTTAATTTATTAAGTATTATTTACTATATTTAAAATAAACAAACTATATAAGTAAAAACTTTGTACTGTTTACTATTATGAAAAAAATATTAGAAATCCGAAATATTTAGTTTTCGTATTAAAAAATAAACTTTTTGAAATCTTGCATTTTTGCTATAAACAGATAATGGGTGGGATATATGGCAAAAATGCAAGGGTTTCAACAAACTAAACAAAGAATACGAAAGCAAAGCACTTGTATTTTGCTCTCTATACAACATGCTTTACTATTCCTCTACACGTATGTATCACGAAATAACCACTAGGTCTTTTACACGCCTTACAGTAATCATTTTATGTAGATTATAATTTATGATGATGCTACTTGTTACACACACATAGTGACAAATCGATTCAACTCACAATAATTTCATTAATATTAACAGTAAGAAGCTGAAATTATAACTCAATACTAATATAACATAAAGGTATATAACAGAGTAGTTGCGAGAAAATTACCCCCACTCCTTCTATTTTTTCTGATTTCTGCGGCGTAAATCCCAGCGCGGCGTATATACCGGAGTTACCCTACTCCTTATTGCAAAACTGATACTGTAAGAAATAATTGATATTTTTCTTATTTGAGGATATAAACAAAATAAATTTTTATTATCTATTATATCTAATAAATATTCAAAATTTATTTATAAAAAAGGGAGGGAAGGGAAAAGAGAGAGAAAACGCTATATTATAAAGAAATCAAATTAAAACTTATCGTTTTGATTATTCTGCTAACTTTAGAAGTACTATCCAAAGTAATAGCTCTGTCCCAAGATCTTTTTATACTCGAATTAAAACTGACATCTTAATTATTAATCTTAAAGTTGATATTTCACAACATGAATTAATTCATGTAAGAGGCTTTCTAAACTTTCTACAATAAACTATAAAAATAATAAATGAGAAGTCAGAAGGTAGAAATTAGCCAATCATAGTCGATTATTATTCTTACATTCGACTATGATTGGTCTATTTAAGTCTACTTCTATCTTCTGATATATCACTAATGATTTATTCGCTTATTGTATAAAGCCTCTAATAGTCTAATCGTCTAATGCATTGCGAGGTAGACGAAGTATTTACCATAGACGGAGTCCCACGAAAGCTCGATAGATTGATTATTCCATTGGAACCGACCAATACCATTTATCGTTAAGCAAAATTGACCAATCACAGCTGACACTTAATTAATCGATTAAAGCTGATCGGAGATGGTGAAACCAGGCCTTGGCCTTGACAACTGATTAAAGATATAATATTGAAGAATATAAACAACATATTTATTTTAATTAATCTTAAATTAATACAAATACGGATTTGGCTGCCGATTTGTCTCATCTAGAATAGGTCAAATCACGTATCGTTCTCATTGGGATGTAGCGGCAATAAAGATGCGGCATTATTCACCTCGCTCCGCGGCCCGCGCTCGTACCACAGTTCACTCGCGCGCAATCCTGACCATCCTGATATACGACTCCATTTTGAACTTTCTCGTGCAAGTAGGCATTTTTTCCAGGGATATACAGTTGTTGGAAGTCGGGCCGTCCTCGGAAATGCTTTCGAGGTATATTGGGAGGCTGCACCCGCTTAAGACAGACATCGTCAAGTGTGGTGTACACAAATGCTCGTCAATTTTAGATACAACGTCGAAAGAGGCGATTGGGAAGCCTGCTAAAGTACAGGTTAGACGTGCTCTATTACGCGCTTTTTTATTTTCACATCGCGGAACACGAAAACCCTTCAAGGGACGTCCGAGAGGTGTCTGGAAAGCTCTCGCTTCGCGCCTTCCAGGGTCCCAGTCGTCCTTTTTACATGTCTGCGATATTTCGAATGATATTGCATAATTAATAAAAAAAAAAAGTTCTGGATTGCTGTCTATAGCTGTCCTTATGTCCTATACTCCTATAGTCACACATTCACGGATTTGACAAAAATAATAGAATCTTGAGCGCGTTGAAATTATAAACGTTGGCTCGTGGCGACGCTTACGTTGTTGCGTCCACAACTCGCAAATTTTACAATAGAAAGCAACCGGTTTAATCTTGATTATACTCACAGATGTATATTCATCTCTCTCCATGCTTAGGGATGGGTACGCGCGCTGCGAAAGATGAAGGATGCAGTCTTTGTTGACATTTCCGATGGATCAACATGCGAAATGTTGCAAGTTGTTATGCCGAAGGTGATTAAACCCGACAATTTACGTTACGGGAGTAGCATCAGAGCGGAAGGAGAGCTATTCCTGGCTCCCAACGGTAAAACTGAGCTACGCGCGACTGAGGTACACGTGATCGGCACGTGCAATGTCTTGGAGGATGGATATCCTTTCGCACCGAGAAAGACATACGATCCGGAGTATATCAGACAGTATTTATATTTGAGGCCGAGAACGCGAGGCTTCTCTAGCTTGTTAAGACTACGCGATCTTGCCACTACAATGATCACTGATCATTTGAGAGATAGGGGGTTTCTTAGTGTACACACACCGATGTTGACATCTAACGATTGCGAAGGCGCGGGTGAGGTGTTTCTCGTCAAACCACAATCCAAAGAGATTTTAAAAAGTATGAAGAAGAAAGGTCAATCAGAAGATGAGATTTACTTTGACACCATTGCCTTCCTCGCTGTCTCTGGACAGTTGCATTTGGAGGCAGTAGCAAGGTGATTTAAATTCTTTGCTGAACATTGTCAATGATGTATCTATCATACCTATTTTTGTAGTTGTCGCTAAATTATAGGATGCAATGTATTGTTAGAACTTTTTCAGAGCTCTCACAAAAGTGTACACTTTTGGACCTACATTCAGGGCGGAAAATTCAAAATCAAGATTGCATTTATCAGAGTTTTACATGTTAGAGGTGGAGATAGCGTTTATTACACGAATCGAAGAATTGATGGAGGAAGTTGAACTTTTAGTGAAACAGGTTATCGAGCGAATGATTGAAAAAGGAGCCTCAGATTTGCGTGCAATCAATGCTCCAGAACCACAGTGGTTGAACAAAACATTTGCACATTTAACGTACGAAGATGCTTTCAATGTGTTAAATAATCACGCAAATAGATTGCAACAACCTATAAAGTATGGAGAGGCATTATCGAAAGAGCACGAACTGTTTTTAGTACAACATAACGACGGGATACCAGTGTTCGTTATTAACTGGCCAAAAGTTATTAAGCCATTTTATATGAAAGAATGCATAGATGATGTATCTAAGGTAAGTAACAAACAATGTATAATTTAAAAAAATCGTTTTTCCTGAATAAATATCTTATAATACTTTTATCTATTTTATTTCTTTTTTTCTCTTATAAGGTAGCGGCAATGGACTTGTTAGTACCAGATGTGGGAGAATTGGTAGGAGGTAGCATGCGCGAGGATGATTATGGAAAATTAGAGTTGAAGCTGCCTCCTACGGGGAATCTCTCGTGGTATTTAGATTTACGTAAATATGGAAATGTGCCAACAGGTGGTTTTGGATTGGGCTTTGACAGATTTTTACAATGCGTCTTGGGGATTAGCAATATCAAGGACACTGTGCCTTTCCCCAGATGGCCGCACAATTGCAATTTATGAATAAAATTTTCAGGGTTGTCGTATTATTTAATTTATCCCCCATTTTTTTTTTTTTTTTTTTGCGAGAGGAGGAGAAAAATCTTCGCAAAGCCCGTCATCCGGGATGCTGCCAAAAGGAGAACCTAGCCGCATGACGGGAAGACGCCCAGAGGCCGGTCCTCTGGGTGTGCGGGATTCGATGAGTCCGCGTCCTCCCCATAGGAAAGGACAGCGGGCACCATCGCCTACCTCGCTAAAAAACTCCCCCTGTGCCACTGCAAAAACTAATTGGGAGCACCCCGGGATTTCATCAGATGCTCCCATAATTTATCCCCCTAATCAAAAATATGACCATCAATGTAAATTGGCGGTCTTTCAAATGGAAAAACAATGCCGCATATTCCGTACAGAAGTCTTTTTTATTTATCTTTTTTGTCTTTCTTTTTATTACACATGCAGGTTTCTTAAATGATGGATGTGGTGATTAGAGAGTTAAAATGCTATGACACACAAAAAACTTAATAAGTTTAATCAATATTTTGTATTTATTACAACTTGCGTTATTGCTTTAAGGCTTATTCATTTACTCTATTTTATTACTTAAGTTTTTTTGTCTATCATAGTTTATTTTTTTATAATGAAGTTTTATACAGTGATTCCATTTTAAACGCAGTTCATTGAATATTGAAAGATACAATGAAATAATCGTAATAAGTTTACGCAGTAATTCCATTTTAAATGCAGTTTATTGAATATTGAAAGATACAACGAAATAGTCGCAATAAGTTTACGCAGTGATTCCAATTTGAACGCAGTTTATTGAATATTGAGACATCATAAGAACAAAAATATAAGTTTTTTTTTATCAATGTCTTTATTGTTTCAAGTATTCCTAGCTTATGAAATTCAAGTCCTAAGCAGCTTCAAAGTTATAAAAGGATATAATAGAAAGGATAATTAAAAAGAGAGAAAAGTCAAGCCTGTAATAAACAAGTCTTCTTTTATACAACAAAATAATGCATATCTAATAGCAGTAGTAATAATCCTCGTCGATTTTATCGTCATTGTTTTTCTGTTGATAGTTATGTACATTACAAGTAGATGATTCATATCACATAATTTGTACACCTTGAAATGACTCGCCCTATGCCCTCCCCCCTCCCTCAGCAAACTCATTTTGAAGGATTTGCAGCATTTTATGTACAAGTACGAGAAGCACTTAATATTACAGGTGAGTGTAAATCACCATCAAGCCTAGGATATGATCCATTTAACGGTGCAAATATTTCGTTAACTAATCAGAAAAAAAATTTTATCAATAAAAGAATGCTTCAAAGCATTTGCAACGTGAAGTGGCTCGCACCCTTACATAAGCACGAACAGTACTTGAAGGTTTTAATGATAAAACACATCATTAAACTTAAACAAGTACCGTTAGGGTATTCGAAGTTTTCAGTTTTGAGTATATAAATCATAAGTAAATCCGTCGTTTTCTCTATCACAAAGCAATGTCGACAAATAATACATTCGTTCTCGCGCAGGAATGCTACTACATACTTTCCAAAATACATAAAATATATGTACAACCTACGTTTTCCTCGCGCTCTCTTTTTGTGTTCATTGAGATGTTAACATTCAGACATATTTACACGCTTGCACACATTTCACACATATTTTTTTTGTAACTTGGACGACGTGATTTAATCAAATGTAGTGATTTAGTTCTTGTGCTTTCGAATGAATCGTGTATATGCAAGCTTTACATAGTAAATTTAAATTAATTTACTTAATTTACTTGAAATTAATCTAAACTTACTAATTGATAAAAAAATTTATCTAAATGAGGATATAATGAATAAAATATTCTAAAGTCGAGCAGCATGTACACGAATAGCATTGAACATAAATAAAGATACACGAGTTACGTTATCACGTCGTACAAGCTGTATAAAATTATAATGTACAAGATGTAAATGTAAGCTAAGAAATAGATCGTGTTCTGTCTAAACGTAAATCTAGCACTTTATACATTTGTATCGCAAAGTGAATAGTTTCTAATTTTATACACACAATATTTACATAATAGAACAAAGTCCCGATAATTCCTGCCCTTTTTCTACAGGGGGTAAAATCGATAGTTTCCTACCCTGTAGATTTGGCTTAATAGAAGCTGCCACTAATGGCTGTTCTGCTCTTTCCTCTGCTGATGTCTCAACTGCTGCTTTCTCCTTCTCTTTATTTTCCTCTGGCTCTTTGTTAATGTTCAACGGCTTAGTAATATTAATTTTAATTCGCGATGGAGCCGCGGGAATAGCTGGTGGCGTGGAGTCCAACTCCACGTTTCCGTCGATGGAACTTTTCACTGCGGCATATGTTGTATCGACCGTGCTCGATTCATTTACAATTTGTTCGGGATCTGAGGAAAAAATTAGAATAATGTAAAAGTTCTTATAAGAAATAAGAAGGGATTTGTTTATTATAATCTAAAGCTGATATACATACCTGGTTCAGGCTCCATAGGTTCCTCTTTGATTTCCACGTTGGCGAAATCAAACACTTCGCTGTCGACTTGTTCATCAACGTCGTCTAGTGGTTCCTCTTTAATTTTGATATTCTCAAAAGGTATTGTTACACCTTCGCCCGGAGATTCGTCTTCTTTATTTACCGTAGGCGCGTCTTGCTCGACGCCTTCTAAGACAGCTTCTGTACTCTCTTCGTTGACGCTTTCTACATTTTCTTGTTTCTCCTCCGTATCATCCTGCGGAACTTCGGAATTTTCCACATCAACAGACTCTTCTTTTTTCTCTGATGCAACAATAGAGTCTAAGAGTTGTTGCATGTTCACCTCTACTTGATTTAAATTCTCCGTAGACTCGAGTTGTTCTTTTTTCGACATTTCTATGTCGGACTCTTCCGGCTTAGTTTCATCTCCGGGCGTTTCTTCAGAACATTCTACTTTATTTTCTTCCATTTCTGAAACTGTCTCTTCAAGCGCCAGAGCTGACTTCTCTAATGCTCTCTAAAGTTTCAACAAGATCAAGATTATTAAATTGAATGAGAACAGAAACAATATGAATAAATATATAAATATAATTATAAGTTTATATCAAAATTATAATTAGTATAAGTGCGAATATATATGATATATGAATAGTGAGATAGTGAGAACAATTACATGATGACATATGTGTGTAAATAAAAAAGATTGTGAAAAATGTTCAACTTTTTTAAATGCATGTTGTTAAAAAAATAAATAATTTCGCCTATACTTCGGTTTTAAGGAGGTTCTCCAATTTAAATAAGTGAAAGGGAGTTACGACTTTTTATATCTTTTAACACAGGAATTTTTGGTTACTGCTGTCTTTTAAATAATAAATAAAATGTAAAGCAATCTGAAAGAAAAAGTAACTGGTAGTTCGAAGGAAATGCTAATTTTTCGTGACATCGACTAAACGATCATGCAACATATAACTTAAGTTGAATAATTTATGAACATTTTACATTCTTATCTTTCTATAAAAATAAGATTTATTAAAATTATTTAAAGAAAACTGTACGATCAAAAAATTTGAAAAAACTCAGGAATGCCTACATATATTTTAATCATAAACTCATTCTCAAAATTTGATCAAGTTTTTATATTGTATGAAAAGACTGAAAAACCCCCTTAAATAATTCTATATAAACGGAAAAATATTGCGTATAAATAGCAGTACTTATTCTATTACTAAGAGCAATAAAGCTTAAAGATGTGATATGAATACGAGTCATATTGAGAATCACGTACCGCTGAACTTTTTTCCTATTTTTTTGTAAGAATGCAAGAAACGGTAGTTATGTTAATGAAATATAATATTGACATATCAATGGACAAGATTCAAACTACCAATTAAAATAGAATAGAGACACAAACCTTGTAATCTTCTAAACAGAGCGGATGATAATTCTTGTCCTCGTAATTAACCGCTGGTCTCAAATGCCATTCCTCCTTTTCCTCATTATAGAATTGCTCAAATGCATCATGGCATACTTGGCATCGCGAATCCTCATCGCTGCCAGTTGGTACGCTGGGCTGCAATGTTTCCTGAGGCGAATCATCAGTAGCCATACCTTCCGTTTCCGCTGTTTGTTTCTCAGTCTCGAACCAGCTTTGTGCTGAAAGAGAAATGAGGAATATAAGATAAAGAAGAGACAAGGTGTTGTTGTGACGGAGTAACCAAACATGGGGGTGTTTCGATTACTCTTAATATAAAGTTTTATCCAAGCCTTACGCTCCGATATCCTTTCGCTCGTCTGCTGAGCTAAATATGACCGCCTATAATTCAGCTAGCCTGATATTATATTTGAATTCAAGAACTCTAAATAACATATACTGAAAAAAAGAAAAATAAACAAACCTCTATCCTCCAAATCTTCGATCTCCTCAAACTGTATCCAATCGCTGACGTCATAATACCATGGTCGAGAATGTGCTTTTCTCGCAGAGTCACGTTCACGCCTGTTCTGTCTGAAGTGCCAATCCAGATGGTGGCTGTACCGAGTAGCTAACTCAGGTGCGAATCTAGCGCCACAAGAACTACATTGCATACCACTGTACAATGCTGCTGCAATTGCTGGTTGTTTACTGTATAAGAGAGAATTGTTATTTTATATCTGAAGTTTGATTTTGTCTTACCAATAGTGAGGACTGTGATATCGATGAGGACTATGATACTGATAATAACTTACATCTTAAGAGTTTCTGGTTTATCGAAGGTGACTGGAGTAATCACAGATTCTTTCTTCTCTTCTTCCTCTTGTTTCTTTTGTTCTGTGAGATTTGGAACGATACCAGTCTCGACCAATCTTTGGAATAATTCGCTCATATTCAGTGGCAGCGTCGGTGCTAGTGCTGGCGGATTTTCTACAGGTTCAGCTTGATACGACAAACCGGATGACGGCGCCATCGCTGATGGTAAAACTGATGATAAAATATCTAATTGCAGGTCTGAAATTATTGGGCGTAGTTATCATTGGGAGACACGATAGTGTCTCAGTAATAAAAGCATGCACACAAT